CTGTCTGGTAGAGAACTCTCAGTCATCTGCAAAGGGGATGGAAACGGAATCGCCGGTTGACCTCCAACTGCAAGCTGCATCTTGGGCATCGGTTTCTTCTTCTCCTCTGTCACCATGTTATGGGACACGGACACGATCAAAAAGTCACGATGGCGGCGGGCGGAAAACAGGCGTTTATTCAGTATAGGGTAGCCTATTTAAAAGAAATAAACACTGTTAATCTTCGAGCCTTCTCAGTGGGTCTTCTGTTTTTCGGTTCACCTCATTGGTCGCGTTCCCCTTTTATTTCATTGGGTTATGCTATTCCTCTTCGGTCGCTGTCTTCCTGTCTCGCGCAATGATCACATCTTTCGTGCTTGGCATCTGATTGGCCGTATTTCTTTGGACCGCTCATATTTGGCTTTGCACTCTGAAACTTGCCGTTAATAGCGATTCTCGAGTTGCCAGTGCGCCCTCTATGTTCTATTGTCCAATCCGGTTTGTCGGTTTCTGGATACGTGTGCCACTCGTGATTCGCTGTCCAGCCATCGCTGTGTCTCCCGGTGGGTTCACGCGTTCTCTCGATCGAACTGATCTGCTGACTCCGGTAACCTGCGCTTAGGTGGTAAGGTCGAGCATACTGGACCGGTTTCCTAAACCCCGTTACATCCTTTTCCTTTTGTTTTGTTAGGATTGCGCCGCAGTATGTCCCATACTGCTTTCCGCTGCGTGTGAGTTTCCTTCCTTCTGCAGGGGTGACGCGTATCTGTCTTGGCTGCTGTTGTCCGTTTTCCATCTGGGTAACACGCGTACAACCTGCTTTCCGGACCTGTACTCGGTTCCGCTTAATTGTAGTGTCCCCAACCTTCACTTCGTAGCTTCTCTCTCCCTTGCGGCTCTGAATAACTCCCTTCCTCCAGTGTCCCTCTGATCCTGGTACTGGTTGCACCCACACTTCTTCTCCCAATGCTAGAGGTTGGAGTTTTCTCGCCCCGCGATCGTAGTATCTCTTTTGCCTAAGCATTCTGTTTCGTAACCGCTCGTGTATCGAGGTCGTTGGTGATACTTCAGGTGTTAGCAGATTTGACGCAGTTGGTATCAACGTTCTTGTCCTCCGGCTGAAGAGTCGCTGCACCGGACTTGCCCCAATTTCTGTTGATGGCGTGTTTCTGCGTTCCAGCAACATAATATAAGGGTCCTCATGAGTCTCCTTAGCTTTGGTAAGCACCTTCTTTGCTTCTTTTACCGCCGACTCGGCCTTTCCATTTGATTGGCTGTGATATGGGCTAGTAAGCCGGTGATGGAAATCCCACTTTCTGCTGAACTCTCGGAACTCTGCGCTAACGAACTGCGGCCCGTTGTCCGAGACTACTACCTCCGGTATTCCGTGACGAGCAAATTGACATCGTAGCTTATTCACCACTGCGTCTGTACTGGTCGTAGCTAGAGCATCGATTTCAAAGTAGTCACTGAAATAATCAACCAACACTAAGTAACTTTTTCCATCGTGGATGAAGATGTCTACTGCAACCATCTGCCAGGGCCTGTCCGGAACGTCACGGAGCATCATCGGTTCTTTTGACTGACGTACGTCGTGTGTTCGGCATGCCAGACAATTTGAGACGTAATCTCGTATTTGGCTGGTCATTCCCGGCCAAAACATTAGCTCTCGCGCTCTGGCCACACAATTGTTGACTCCCAAATGTGCATAGTGGACAAGCTCTGTCATCGCGCGCTGCAACGCTTTGGGGATTAGTATCCTATTGCCTTTGAATATCAACCCGTCTTGGACAATGAGTTCATCACGAAAATGGAAAAACGGGGTCAGCACTCCTGGTAGATCTTTCTTGTTCTTGGGCCAGCCACTTAGTATTGTCTGCCTCAGTAGCTTGCATAACTCATCTTCCTCTGTGCACTGCTGGAGCTGTTTCAATCGTTCCTCGGTAACAGCTACTAGTTGTGCTGCATGAACGAAATCTGAATCTTCGTCTTCCTCTGGTGTGTCTGACAGATATGCCCTGGATAACGTGTCTGCGATATGCATTTCGGGACCAGGTCGATACACAATCTCTAGGTCGTACTTTTGAAGGCGAATAAGCATTCTCTGTAAGCGGCGGGGAACAACATGTAGCGGCTTGTTGGCGATGGAAACCAACGGTTTGTGATCTGTAAACACTGTAGTCTTCCGGCCAAATGTATAGTCATTAAAACGTTCGACGGCGTAAACCACTGCAAGCATCTCTTTTTCTATCTGGGCGTAACGACGCTCGGTCTCTGTCAACGTCCTACTGCGAAAATCGATGGGTTTCCCATTCTGCATGAGTACGGCCCCGATACCAAATTGACTGCTGTCGCATTGAATCTCGAGGGAGAGTTGCGGATTATAGTAGGCGAGAACAGGTGCGTTAGTGATGAGTTCCTTGATTGCCTGGAAGGCCTCTTCTTGTTCTGCACCCCAATGCCAGCTTTCGCCCTTATGAGTCAACTTCCTGATCGGTGTCATAACATCAGCTAACTTGGGCAGGAACCGGCTCAGATAATTGATCATCCCATTTAGCCTGCCAACCGCTTTCACATCTGTGGGGGACGGCATATCTCTTATAGCTCTTACTTTCTCAGGGTCTGGTTTTAGCCCTTCCGCGCTTAACACATGCCCATGAAATATAACCTCTGTACTGCGTAGTTCGATCTTTTCACGTTTCAGTTTGATGTTTCTTTCAACACAACGTTGTAAAAAGCTACGAAGGTTCTGATCGTGCTCTTCACGAGTAGCGCCAAAAACCAACACATCGTCCGCTACGCAGAATACTCCCTGTAGATCGTCCAACGCTTGCATTAGTCGCTTCTGGAAGATTTCGCTAGACACTTTCAGTCCAAACGGTAAACGAAGCCAACGGTACCGCCCGAATGGTGTTCCGAAAGTTGTCATGTAGCTTGACTCATCATCTAGTGATACGTGCCAGAACGCAGAGGCGAGGTCGACTTTCGTGAACACTTTAGAATTGCATAACACCGGCAGCATGTCGTCTAGTGTCGGTAACGTAAAATACTCTCTCTTGAGTGCGGCATTAAGCGGTTTCGGATCAATGCATATACGCAGCTCGCCTGACTTTTTTGTAATAATCGCCACCTGGCTGACCCAATCAGTCGGTTCGTCAACTTTAGCTATCACTCCCAGACTACAGAGACGTTGCAACTCACTCAAGAATTTTTCGCGCAAAGCAATTGGCACCTTCCTAGCTGGTAACGCCACCGGTGTTGCTAGCTCGTTTAACGATAAGTGAGCGGGTCCCTCGAACATCCCTACTCCGCCATCAAACACACTCGAGTACTTATCAAAAATATCTGCCTCGATGTCACACGCATGAACAAAACGTTCGTGGTTAAAAGAAACAAAACCAAAACGCTGGATAGAATCAATGCCCAGAATGGGCATAAGGTCTTCCGAAACAATCAGGAACTCCAGCGGGTGCTCTGTTCCTTCCTTTGGATTGACCGTCTCCAAAATGACGATGCCCTTCGGTTGTAGCCTTGAGCCGTTCCACATTTTGAGACACTTTTGAGTTTCTTCACATCGCACCCCCTTGCAGTATTTTTCAGGCAAGATGTTAACCGCAGCCCCGGAGTCTAGCTGAAAACGTACCGGTTGTCCTCGAACCAAAAGTGTTGCAAACACACACTTGCTTTTCGCCCGGCCATCCATGTTGTTTATCAACAATTCTTGTTCCCGTTCTCTGGCATCGTCGGCAACCGAACTCACTCTGTATGATCTACAGCAACGAGCAAAGTGACCTTTCTTGGAGCACTTCATGCACGTCCGACCCCACGCTGGACAACTCTCCTTCTTCTTTTGGTGCCTGCGGCCGCAAAACTGGCAATCAGTTACCTGTTCATCGGGTGATCTCGGGATACGTCCCTCGGTTCGGGATACTGCAAACAACTCCGTATTCTTTTCGGCGCGCAGATGTTCGACTTGCTGATCTGTTCTGGCCTCACTGAGGCAGATGTCGACACACTGTTCCAGTGACAAGTTCCTTTGTCGCAGAAACCGGCGTGTGAGTTCATCGTTCCTTATCCCAATAACGATGCGATCCCGTATCAGTGACTCCTTCATGCATTCACAGAAATTGCAAGTTCGTGCCAGGAGCTTCAGTTCTGTGATGTATCTCTCGAACGACTCCCCCGGTAAACGATCGCGTCCAAAAAACAGATATCGTTGGTAGGTCTCGTTCACACGCGCTTCGCAGAACTCGCCAAATGTCCGCATCACTTCGGAAAGATCCGCCTTCTGGTCGCCAAACTTCAGTGTTTCAAGAACCCTCCTTGCATCGTCACCAATAGCGTGCCTAAACATTGCGAGTTGGTAGTTCATCGGCTGGGCGTCCAGCTGAGTCAGTGTTGCGAAATCCGCCCACTTGCTCTTCCAAATCCGCCAACTGTCTGGTAGAGAACTCTCAGTCATCTGCAAAGGGGATGGAAACGGAATCGCCGGTTGACCTCCAACTGCAAGCTGCATCTTGGGCATCGGTTTCTTCTTCTCCTCTGTCACCATGTTATGAGACACGGACACGATCAAAAAGTCACGATGGCGGCGGGCGGAAAACAGGCGTTTATTCAGTATAGGGTAGCCTATTTAAAAGAAATAAACACTGTTAATCTTCGAGCCTTCTCAGTGGGTCTTCTGTTTTTCGGTTCACCTCATTGGTCGCGTTCCCCTTTTATTTCATTGGGTTATGCTATTCCTCTTCGGTCGCTGTCTTCCTGTCTCGCGCAATGATCACATCTTTCGTGCTTGGCATCTGATTGGCCGTATTTCTTTGGACCGCTCATATTTGGCTTTGCACTCTGAAACTTGCCGTTAATAGCGATTCTCGAGTTGCCAGTGCGCCCTCTATGTTCTATTGTCCAATCCGGTTTGTCGGTTTCTGGATACGTGTGCCACTCGTGATTCGCTGTCCAGCCATCGCTGTGTCTCCCGGTGGGTTCACGCGTTCTCTCGATCGAACTGATCTGCTGACTCCGGTAACCTGCGCTTAGGTGGTAAGGTCGAGCATACTGGACCGGTTTCCTAAACCCCGTTACATCCTTTTCCTTTTGTTTTGTTAGGATTGCGCCGCAGTATGTCCCATACTGCTTTCCGCTGCGTGTGAGTTTCCTTCCTTCTGCAGGGGTGACGCGTATCTGTCTTGGCTGCTGTTGTCCGTTTTCCATCTGGGTAACACGCGTACAACCTGCTTTCCGGACCTGTACTCGGTTCCGCTTAATTGTAGTGTCCCCAACCTTCACTTCGTAGCTTCTCTCTCCCTTGCGGCTCTGAATAACTCCCTTCCTCCAGTGTCCCTCTGATCCTGGTACTGGTTGCACCCACACTTCTTCTCCCAATGCTAGAGGTTGGAGTTTTCTCGCCCCGCGATCGTAGTATCTCTTTTGCCTAAGCATTCTGTTTCGTAACCGCTCGTGTATCGAGGTCGTTGGTGATACTTCAGGTGTTAGCAGATTTGACGCAGTTGGTATCAACGTTCTTGTCCTCCGGCTGAAGAGTCGCTGCACCGGACTTGCCCCAATTTCTGTTGATGGCGTGTTTCTGCGTTCCAGCAACATAATATAAGGGTCCTCCTGAGTCTCCTTAGCTTTGGTAAGCACCTTCTTTGCTTCTTTTACCGCCGACTCGGCCTTTCCATTTGATTGGCTGTGATATGGGCTAGTAAGCCGGTGATGGAAATCCCACTTTCTGCTGAACTCTCGGAACTCTGCGCTAACGAACTGCGGCCCGTTGTCCGAGACTACTACCTCCGGTATTCCGTGACGAGCAAATTGACATCGTAGCTTATTCACCACTGCGTCTGTACTGGTCGTAGCTAGAGCATCGATTTCAAAGTAGTCACTGAAATAATCAACCAACACTAAGTAACTTTTTCCATCGTGGATGAAGATGTCTACTGCAACCATCTGCCAGGGCCTGTCCGGAACGTCACGGAGCATCATCGGTTCTTTTGACTGACGTACGTCGTGTGTTCGGCATGCCAGACAATTTGAGACGTAATCTCGTATTTGGCTGGTCATTCCCGGCCAAAACATTAGCTCTCGCGCTCTGGCCACACAATTGTTGACTCCCAAATGTGCATAGTGGACAAGCTCTGTCATCGCGCGCTGCAACGCTTTGGGGATTAGTATCCTATTGCCTTTGAATATCAATCCGTCTTGGACAATGAGTTCATCACGAAAATGGAAAAACGGGGTCAGCACTCCTGGTAGATCTTTCTTGTTCTTGGGCCAGCCACTTAGTATTGTCTGCCTCAGTAGCTTGCATAACTCATCTTCCTCTGTGCACTGCTGGAGCTGTTTCAATCGTTCCTCGGTAACAGCTACTAGTTGTGCTGCATGAACGAAATCTGAATCTTCGTCTTCCTCTGGTGTGTCTGACAGATATGCCCTGGATAACGTGTCTGCGATATGCATTTCGGGACCAGGTCGATACACAATCTCTAGGTCGTACTTTTGAAGGCGAATAAGCATTCTCTGTAAGCGGCGGGGAACAACATGTAGCGGCTTGTTGGCGATGGAAACCAACGGTTTGTGATCTGTAAACACTGTAGTCTTCCGGCCAAATGTATAGTCATTAAAACGTTCGACGGCGTAAACCACTGCAAGCATCTCTTTTTCTATCTGGGCGTAACGACGCTCGGTCTCTGTCAACGTCCTACTGCGAAAATCGATGGGTTTCCCATTCTGCATGAGTACGGCCCCGATACCAAATTGACTGCTGTCGCATTGAATCTCGAGGGAGAGTTGCGGATTATAGTAGGCGAGAACAGGTGCGTTAGTGATGAGTTCCTTGATTGCCTGGAAGGCCTCTTCTTGTTCTGCACCCCAGTGCCAGCTTTCGCCCTTATGAGTCAACTTCCTGATCGGTGTCATAACATCAGCTAACTTGGGCAGGAACCGGCTCAGATAATTGATCATCCCATTTAGCCTGCCAACCGCTTTCACATCTGTGGGGGACGGCATATCTCTTATAGCTCTTACTTTCTCAGGGTCTGGTTTTAGCCCTTCCGCGCTTAACACATGCCCATGAAATATAACCTCTGTACTGCGTAGTTCGATCTTTTCACGTTTCAGTTTGATGTTTCTTTCAACACAACGTTGTAAAAAGCTACGAAGGTTCTGATCGTGCTCTTCACGAGTAGCGCCAAAAACCAACACATCGTCCGCTACGCAGAATACTCCCTGTAGATCGTCCAACGCTTGCATTAGTCGCTTCTGGAAGATTTCGCTAGACACTTTCAGTCCAAACGGTAAACGAAGCCAACGGTACCGCCCGAATGGTGTTCCGAAAGTTGTCATGTAGCTTGACTCATCATCTAGTGATACGTGCCAGAACGCAGAGGCGAGGTCGACTTTCGTAAACACTTTAGAATTGCATAACACCGGCAGCATGTCGTCTAGTGTCGGTAACGTAAAATACTCTCTCTTGAGTGCGGCATTAAGCGGTTTCGGGTCAATGCATATACGCAGCTCGCCTGACTTTTTTGTAATAATCGCCACCTGGCTGACCCAATCAGTCGGTTCGTCAACTTTAGCTAGCACTCCCAGACTACAGAGACGTTGCAACTCACTCAAGAATTTTTCGCGCAAAGCAATTGGCACCTTCCTAGCTGGTAACGCCACCGGTGTTGCTAGCTCGTTTAACGATAAGTGAGCGGGCCCCTCGAACATCCCTACTCCGCCATCAAACACACTCGAGTACTTATCAAAAATATCTGCCTCGATGTCACACGCATGAACAAAACGTTCGTGGTTAAAAGAAACAAACGCCAACCGCTGGAAAGAATCAACACCCCGAATGGGCATAAGTCCTTCCGAAACAATCAGGAACTCCAGCGGGTGCTCTGTTCCTTCCTTTGGATTGACCGTCTCCAAAATGAAGTTGCCCATCGGATGTAGCCTTGAGCCGTTCCACAGTTTGAGACACTTTTGAGTTTCTTCACATCGCACCCCCTTGCAGTATTTTTCAGGCAAGATGTTAACCGCAGCCCCGGAGTCTAGCTGAAAACGTACCGGTTGTCCTCGAACCAAAAGTGTTGCAAACACACACTTGCTTTTCGCCCGGCCATCCATGTTGTTTATCAACAATTCTTGTTCCCGTTCTCTGGCATCGTCGGCAACCGAACTCACTCTGTATGATCTACAGCAACGAGCAAAGTGACCTTTCTTGGAGCACTTCATGCACGACC